AAAATGGATTATAATACATTAAGTTTGCCAAACACTTTTTATTTTGAAGAAAGAAACAAGGTGAGATACCCTGTTCATATATCATATCACCAAAACACTAACATAACATAATGAGTAGTCATATCACCAAAACACTAACATAACATAATGAGTAGTCTGAGGAAAGAAAAAAATCATTTAATTCATACCTAAGAATAGGGTGAGGACCAAAGTCGTCACCTATTACTAAGGTCATTGATGTTTAATTTAATCTAAAAAAACTCAAACTAAATCATTCTAGGAAAAGCTAGGCAAAAGAATATACAGTGTCAGGAGCTATAACAGAGCTCATACTTACATCACAGCCAAAAAATAAAGTTAAAGCAGTATATAATCTCAAGATAATTACAAAAGAGAAAGATTTTTAAACTGGTGGACTCCTCAAAATTTGCCATCCACCCGAGCTATCTCATGGGAGGATAAATCATCTTGCAGCAGCAGTTGTGCTATCCACCTCTCCTCCACTGACTTCTGAACAGTGGCTGATTTATTAGATGTGAGATTACATGTTGATAATAGTATGAAATGAGTAATGTCAGAAGCCAAAGTACGAGGAGAGACGCCAGTCTTGCTGAATATAAGATTGTTCATTGCCCTCCTTAGGTACCAGCAAATTGATGGAAAAAGAATAGACCATAGGACTCTAGCATCTTTTTCCACCAGATAAGTATGATATGAGTCCACAATAACACTGAGCTCTTGCAATGAGGAAGATATTTGAAGAAAAGACAAGAAGATGGATGAGACCAACTTCACATACGAGCATTGTAAGAATAGGTGTTCATTACTTTTAGGGACCTTATTGCATAGTAAGCAAGTAGTATCTCCAGTCCATCCTATTAGATAGAAGCTGAAGGAATATTTTCACTTTCAGTGGGTTGATGGATTTCGAAAAAAAGCTGAATCCTTTGAATGGAATGCTAGACGCCTAGGATTATATCTACTTGAATTGTAGGCCATTTGTGGATTATAAGCTAAATAGATAATAATTTAAATTTATCAAACATGGCCTAAATGTACTATAATATATCGCCATGTTTATACAATTCCGACATACACACAACCTGGCTTTTGCACTTTATGAGTTTGACGCAAACGTAGAAACGGGGAGGTCGATCGGATATCGTTTCGATGCTAACAAGTCCTGACAATAACATGTAGATAACAAGCTTGAATCCACAAGCCCTAATTTTCCCAAGTTTAGGAAAGAAAATAATATAGAAATTTCTCTTGATTTAATAATTGAAAAGTTGATTCTCAATTTACAAAAGAAACTATTATTTATAGCCAACTAACCCTATCCTAACCCTAATAAAAAAGAGAGTCCGAATTTAAAAGGAAATAACCAAAAATATAAAACTTTCCTAATCTGTTTCCGAGTCAACACGAGGCGTGGCGAGTAGTAAATCCTTTCGTGTCGACTGGCATGTGTCGACTAACACTGCCCTTCGTGTCGACTGGGGTGTGTCGACTAGCATGTGCCGACTAACACCGCCCTTCATATTAATTAGGGTATGTCATGTCGTCCTGTCATCTCGACTGTCGACTGGGGTGTGTCGTCTCGTCTTGTCGCCTTGACTCGAGTTGAGATGTTGAGTCGTCGTTCGCTGATGTCGTCTCGGCTGCTTTTCTTCTCATCTCGTCCAACACTTGATCTCCTGTATTAGTCCCTCCTCCTTCGAAAGAACTCGTCTCTGAGTTCGTATCACTCGAATACAACTTGATTGAAGGATGATAATCAGAAATATCCGACACGTTGAATGTCTTATACATAGCCATTTCTTCTAGAAGATCCACTACATATGCATTGTCATTGATCTTTTTGAGAATCTTGAATGGTCCATATCATTTCGGCTTAAGCTTGCTATATATTCCAACCGACATCCGTTCCTTCTGCAAGTAAACCATCACCATATCTCCTTCATGGAACACCTTGAGTCGCCGCTTCTTGTCTGCTCGCTCCTTGAACTTTGCATTAGCCTTCTCGAGCTTTGAACGAACTTCCTACTAAACGTTGAAAGCATTCTCGGCCATTGAACTTGCTGCCTTGCTGAACTTGCTACTTGTCGGTAACTTCAACAAATCTTGGAGATGTCAAGGTGTCTTCCTGTAAACAATAGAAAAAGGAGACATACTTGTGGAACTATGAACAGTCATGTTGTAGGCGAATTTAGCTTGAGGTATAGCTTGATCCCACATCTTTGGTTTCTCCCTACATATGCATCGAATTAAGTTTCCCAAAGTCCGATTGACCATTTCTGTTTGTCCATCCATTTGAGGGTGTGTTGTGCTAGAATATTTCAATGAAGTGTCAAATCGTCGCCATAAAGTAGTCTAAAAAGTCGCCAAAAACCTAGTATCCCTATCCGAGACAATCGAACTAGGAACACCATGTAGTCGAACCACTTCTTCAAAGAACAGTCGTGCAACATGTGGTGCATCCGAAGTCTTGCGGCATTGAATGAAGTGAACCATCTTAGAAAATCGATCCACTACCACAAAGACTAAATCCATACCACTTTGTGTTCGGGGAAGTCCTAACACAAAGTCCATACTCAAATCTTCCCATATATCCTTGGGCACATGTAGAGGAGTATACAAACCAGTATTTTGTACTTGTCCCTTTAAAACTTGGCATGCTTGACAGCTCCTCACAAGTGTTGCCACATCCTTCCTCAAACTCAGCCAATAGTATCTCTCCTCAAGACTCAAAACAGTTTTGTCTCACCCAAAGTGTCCACCAAGCCTGCCACCATGTAAGTCTCGAACTATCTTTTCCCTTAATGACGTCCTTGGAATACAAAGCCGATTTCCTTTAAACAGAAAGTTGTCCATAATAATAAAGTCTCATGTAGGTTTTCTTGTCAAACACTTTGCCCAAACCTCCTAAAAGTCTTCATCATCAACATAAAGCTCTTTCAAACTGTCAAAATCAACAACTTCACCTCGTAATATGCTTAATAAAGATACCTCCCGACTCAAAGCATCGGGCACCTTATTGTCGACTCCTGACTTATGTCGCCAAGTAAAATTAAACTATTCAAAGTAAGAAGCCCAACGTCCATGTATTTTGTTGATATGCTTCTGATTCTTGAAGTGTTGAAGAGACTGATGATTGGAGTAAATCACGAAGTCGTTAGTAATGAGGTAACTCTCCTAAGTCTTCAAAGAACAAAAAACAACATACAACCCTTATTCGTAAGTACTCCACTTCTGCC